AAATATAGATTATTATCTTTATTTTAGTATAAAAATAAAAAATATTTATTAATAAAATAATAAATTTTAATATAAAGCAATAATATTAATTTTACTATATTTTACTATGTTTTTTTTCAATTTCCAGTAATATAGTATAGGGGTGTGTATAAGTATATTAAACTAATTAAATGAAAGAAATATAATAAAACATATAAAAATTATAAAAAGATAATAAAATATATAAAAATTATAAAAAGATCATAAAATATATAAAAATTATAAAAATATAATTTATATAAATTATATAAATTATATAAATTATATAATTTTATGCAAATTATAAAGATTATGCAGATCATATAAATTATAAAAATTATAAAATTATAAAATTAATTGAAATAATAATAATAAATAAATATAGTAAAAATTAAAATTAAAACAAAAATTATAAGTTATAGTTTAATATATATTTTTTTAGATTTTTTCTGATAAAATTGTTTTAATTACAAGATTATTACAAAAATTAATTTTACATTAAAAAATTTTTGCAATAACTTTATAATTAAAATAACTTTGTCAGAAAAAATTCTAAAAAAAATATATGTTAACTATAACTTATAATTTTTGTTTTAATTTTAATTTTTACTATATTTATTAATAAAATTACATGTGTAATTCCATAATTTTTGTTAGTCACTGTATAACTTCATAATTAATTAGTTATTATATAATAACAATTAAAAAAATACAATATTAAAATTTAATAATAAAATACAGCTTTGTTCTAATTGCAAAGTAAATTATAATTAAAACATATTTCTTAAACTATTTGAAATTCAGAACAAATTTGTAAATAAATAATTTGAAGAATAAAAGATTTTTTACTAATAAAATCATTTTTAATATAATAAATAAATTTTTTTATTAAGTTATATAATATAATAAATATTATTTAATTTAAATAATATATTTATTTGGATATATTTTATTTACTAACTTCTATCCAAGACAAATTTGTAAGAAAAATGATTTAAAAAATTGCAATTGAAAAAACTTTTTTCAAATTAAATTTAACAAGTCTGAAAAATATGTTTAATAGCAAAAAAACAACTTGTAAAAATATGAGTTTATTTAAAAAGAAATTATTCTTCAATAAGATATTATTCTAAAAAGTTGAAAAATCAAATTTCTCATTCTCAACAATATTATAAAAACAAATTGCATCATAAATTCTGATCACATTTTTTAATTTCTCTTTCAATACCTCTTTAACCAAAGCTGTTAAAAATTATCAAAAGTCATTTTGGTTTGATTGAGATCCAGAAAGATTTTGAATTAAGAGACTAGGAGGTAGCAAACGTGAGTCATCGGGGCTACGAATGAATGAATTGCTCTTGACTTTGAAACAAATAGTCTCTAGCCTTCACGCAGAATTCAGGAGGAAGTTCACTATAATTGCCCGAGATAGACTTAATTTACACACTTGACGACCTAGCTTTACAAGCAAGATGAAGGTGGCTAAGCTACAAGCTAGACGAAGGTGGCCAGTCTGATGAAGAAAGTCTTGCAAGCTTAGGTAGTTACATCAGGGAATTGCCTGACTCCTCTATCTCTTACCGCTAAACTTTCCCCTGAATTCCCTAAATAAAATAAATTCGTCTGTAGTTCTTTGAAATGCTTCTCATCAAATACTCATAATAATAATCATTTTAGTTGTAATAATTCATAACGCCATCGATGGAACTTCCCTTTTCAAAAAAAAAACTCGTGACTTCATAATTAAATGATCCAATTATCCAATGAGAGGTTAACATTAACGTATTATTTCTCGCATTGCAGAGAAGATTGAGAGACAGGTAGTTTACATCGTGAATTTATTATGCGATGAAGCAAACTCTCGATAAAGTTCTCTCGCATCAGTGTATTAACAGCAGCATTCAAAACTGTGAGGACTTTAACGACCATATAAGGCCACAGACTACTATAAAAGTTGTTAAAAGTCAACAGTTGCAGAGAACTATAACAAAAGTTCGCGTCGATCAGTCACCCCTATTGAATCTTTCCTTGTCTTTTATTTTCTTTCAAGGTTTTATCTGCATTTCCTCGAATCTCCTTTTTCATTGCGTTTTTCATTTATTAATTTTATAATATATGCGATTATCTAATTTCAGAAAATCAAATAAGAAAAAGGAGCGAATTCAACAGTTGCCAGTAAATTGGTTGCACTGTTTACATACATCAAACATTAAAGATCTATCATCTTTTATCGATTTAGTTCGCGATTCATTCGCGATATTTCAACAGCTTTCTTTTTATTCTTTCTCAGAAATGCCAAAACAATCAACACATGCAGAGTTAAAGGTCCAAAAAAATGTATTCGATAAGATGAAAGAAAGACTAGAGAATAATATAGAAATCTTCTTTGTAAAATCCGATCCACTGACATCAGAACAAATGGTTGATCTCCTTGAGCCGAAGACACTTTTATCCTCGGATCATATCAACGCGTATTTTTCGATGCTTAATTCACAGCAACGTCGTGATGATCATATTTACGGTCTTTCAACGTATTTCTACACAAGATTAGTTTCGTCTGATAACAACTATGAATATGAAGCTGTGGCTCGATGGACAAAAAATACGCGAATATTTAAAAAGAAAATGGTTTTTGTTCCAATAAATCTGGATCAAGTTCATTGGATATTAGCAGTGATTCGGATTGGAACACGTGAGATTCAAATATGGGATTCATTAGGTCACTCGCATCATAAAGACTCAGTTGGAACTTGGCTCAATAAATATCTAAAAGATGAATATGATCATAAAGAGAACAATGTTAATAACCATAATTTAAAGGATGAAGATACGAAAGATAAAAATGAAAATTCAATTCGCACAATTGGTCACTCTAATAATGATAATACTCGTCAAAATAATATTTATATGACCAGATCCAATTACACCATATCAAATAATAATAATAATAATCACCACCACCACAATACCATCAATAACTCCACACAGAGTAAGAAATTCACCTACAATACTCGTTCACAAAGTAACAAAGGAGCACAAGGGGAAAATATCATTGAATGGAAGGATTTTGAAGTAGTCGATAAGTGGGTGCAAGAACGTGGACCACAGACTGATGGAGCTTCATGTGGAGTATTTGTTTGTCTAATCGCTAAATTACTTACAGACGGAAAGACTGAAGAACAAATCAAAGAAATAATATTTGAAAAAGATGCCGCTTACAATTATCGTAAAGTAATGACATTGGAAATCTGTAATTATGCAATTGATAATAATACTGTCACCTCGACTGAGTAGAATCGCATTTATTCTTGTCTATGGGAAATTATGATGATAATGGTTGGTGGTAATCGTGGTAATGGTTGTAATCATTGTTAGAAGCATATTTGTTGTAATATATTATATAACGTGATGATTGCAAACAAAAATATAATTAATGTATTTGTCGACTAATATAAAATATTCAAATCAATTAATCCATCTTATCTACAGATTGATAGGAAATTTATCGTTATCTTTTTATCTATATAAAATTTCATAAGTTGCGTAGATCTCGTAAACGTTTGTTTCACAAGATATTAAAAAAAGCAAGTATCCCTCACGCGTACCCACTCATCTTATCGTTATGGGTCCTCATTATTCTTATCGCGATTTATTTAACCATGTTTGGTTCTTCTGTCCCGTTTCGCTTTTTCTCGCGCACATCCGATCCTGGTCTTTACGAATTTAAACAAATTCCTATCATTATTTTTTCTGAATAGTGGACCGCCAATATACTACTCTAAAATCACCAACTCACGCCAATCGGCAACAATTTCTTTCATATACTACAATGGCATACACTGATAATATAAAGACAAACCTCGAATGGATCTCTTCCCTTTCTTTGGATCATCCTGTGAAAAATATTCGAAAGACCTCGATTATTTGCACTATTGGTGAGTGCATTTGTATAAATTCAAATTTGAAATGACCAAGTTCGAACAATATTTATCCAATTACCAATGCCAAAGAGTTAACCATTCTTTTGTATATTAACAAATTAGGTCCAAAAACTAATAGTGTTGAAATGATTACAGCTTTACGTAATGCTGGTATGAATATCGTCCGTCTTAACTTCTCCCACGGCTCTTATGAGGTAAATAATATCTTGAATTCCAATAATGTCATACATATTTTGATTAATTCAATTCTTGACTTTAGTATCACAGCTCAGTTATTAATAATGTCCGCGAAAATGCAAGATGTAAGAAAAATATTTATTAGGTATTGCGTAACTCGATTGATATTAATCTTTTGCGTTTCTTTTGAGCAGTACACCCTGGTCGACCTCTAGCCATTGCCCTAGACACGGTAATTTTATCTTTGGAATCTTGTGTATACATACACTCTGCACATAAATTGACATGAGCATTTGATTTTTTTTCTTTAAAGAAAGGGCCAGAAATTCGAACAGGTTTGATGCGAAATAATGAGGAGGTAACTTTTTGGTGTGATTATCTTATCTTATCGGTCTATTGATCGATCTATTCGCTCAATTACTTGAATTCTTTGATTATAGCTTCCGATCAGTGTTGGCCATGAAATGATTTTCAGCACAAACAAGAAATACGCGGAAATTTGTGATCTAAATGTTATGTACGTCGATTACTCAAATTTACCAAAGGTTATTAATAAAGGAAAGATCATCTATGTGGACGATGGTGTCCTCTCATTTGAAGTAATTGAAATTGGAGAAGATGAAGTGAAAGTTCGCGCGTTGAATAATGGGAAACTGTGTAGCAAGAAAGGAGTCAATTTACCAATGACTTCAGTTGACTTGCCAGCACTTTCCGAAAAAGACAAAGCAGATTTAAAATTTGGCGTTGAACAAGACGTTGATATGGTGTTTGCTTCGTTTATTCGAAACGGACAAGATATTCGGGATATAAGAGAAGTTTTAGGGGAGAAGGGAAAGACCATCAAAGTCATCGCTAAAATTGAAAATTATCAAGGTCTCGTAAATTTTGATGAAATTTTGGTCGAGACAGATGGTGTAATGGTCGCTCGTGGTGATCTTGGTATTGAAATTCCTCCTTCACAAGTTTTTGTTGCACAAAAGATGATAATTGCCAAATGTAATATTGTTGGGAAACCTGTTGTCTGGTTGGTGTAATATTTTATTTGCTTCGCGTCTATCTGCATGTTCGAATAATATTGATCAATGGTTCGCATTTAATCTTTTACAGTGCAACTCAAATGCTGGAATCTATGACAGTTATTATTATTATTATTTTCTGTTATGTTATTTTTATTTTATTTAAAAAATATTCTTCTTCTGATTAGTATAATCCACGTCCTACACGTGCTGAAATAAGTGATGTCGCTAATGCGGTTCTTGATGGTGCTGATTGCGTCATGTTATCGGGTGAAACGGCGAAAGGCGCATATCCAATTGAAACTGGTGATTTTCTCAGGAGATCTTTTGAATTTGGGAAATTCTGCTGTCTTACTAATCGGTTTTATATTAGTGCATATGATGCAAGAGACGTGTATCATCGCCGAGTCTGTGATTTGTTATCCGCCACTATTTAATGAACTTCGTGCGTTAACAGCCCTACCTGCCGACACCACCGAAACTGTCGCGTCTTCTGCTGTATCTGCGGCTCATGAGCAAAATGCTGGCTGCATTCTTGTCTTATCGACTTCTGGCACCTCTGCGCGTCTGGTTTCTAAATATCGGCCACGTTGCCCCATTATAACAGTTACAAGAAATGCGCAAACAGCGCGTCAAATTCATCTTTATCGTGGCTGCTATCCATTTATTTATGATGTGCCACCACCTTCCGATGCTATAAAAGATGGTTGGCAAGAAGATGTAGAGAATAGAATTCGTTGGGGTATTCGACATGCAAAATTTTTGAAGTTTGTATTATTTGTTGACTGTTAACTGGTTTTAGCCATCAAAATTGGGCTCTTAAAGAGTCAATTATTCATCATCTTTATTTTCATCAAATTAGTATCTTAAAAAGTGGAGATCCGGTCATTGCAATTCAAGGATGGAAAGGCGGTACGTATTTCAATATAACGAATCGATTATTTTTTTCATTTATACTATATTTAAACACAATTATTTAATTTAGGTCTTGGGAACACTAATACACTTCGTATACTAAGTACACCATGAAATACAACATATATATTAATATAGTAATATTTAAATCAATTAAATGATGTTCAGTTAGAATTGCATTAAAATATTTAATAGCCTTGCAATAAATCCATGTTAAATTGAATTCATCATGTGGCATGATTTAAATGTTCTTATCAACTTATTTTGACTCGTCCAAGATTTAACATTAATATGGAAAGGGATATTTCACAAAAGCAGCCTCAAATTGTGGTTTCATTCTTATGTGCTTGTTTAAATGCTATAACTAGTGGTAGTCTCTATTTATTCTCTTTATATGGGCCACAGTTAGGAAAAGAATTGGGATACAAACAAGTGCAGGTATGCGGTGTATAGTTGTAAGTAGAGTAAATAATTAAATTATATAATAAAAAAAACTTTTAAAAGCTATCTTTTGTTGGCGCAACGGGAAATAATGGATTGTATTTAATGGGACCGTTCGCTGGTTGGCTTATAGATAAATATGGTAAGTGAATTCGTTATATATTTTATATATTTGATCAAGAGAAACTATAATTTTATTTGGTAAATTCAATTTGGAATTTCAATAGGTACAAGATGGTAAGTACATGTATAACATTCACAACATTTTGAACTTATGACTAAATTAATGTTCTTTGCTATATCTCAGGACGTGTCTTGCGGCAGCAATTTGTTTAATTTTCGGTTACACTTCGATGGCCTTCACCTTTAATCACACTTTCCCGAACTCTTCGTTTATTTTAATGGCAATATACTATGCCTTTGTTGGTGTAGGATCAAATTGCTCGTATGTGTAATAGCGAATTATTATCTCAAAATCGCGTAGATTATTATCATTCATACGATTTGATGAGTTTTTTATAGTTTTTTTTCGGCTATTAATGTTACTGCGAAAAATTTTACAAATCTTCGTGGTACCGGATTAAGGTAAGTCAATCGTTTGTCTTATAAAATTAATTCTTTTCTTTAACACTTTAATATGATTAATTAATTAATTACAACATTTTAGTGGACCAATCGCTTTTTTTGGCCTTTCTGCATTCATATTATCACAGTTAAGTAAAATATTTGTTGACAACGACGGGAAATTAGATGTTTATAAATTCCTTTTATTCATGGGAATTGCATTCGGCATTGGCAATTTAATATCTACAATATGGCTTCGCGTTATCCCTTCACGTGAGCTGAATCGGATCTACGAAGAAGAGGAAGTTGTAGAAGAAACCAACGCAAATGAACAAACACCTTTATTAACACCCGCAAGCGCATGGTCATGTATTGGTGATCCATCAGCATGGCTATTGTGGTCTTCTTTTCTTTGTCTTGCCGGGACAGGACTAATGGTGATCAATAATATAGGAACGATAATTATTTCGCTTCTAGAACCAAAATCCCCATCATCAATTTCCGCTATTAAGCTTCAGAGTTTTCACGTTTCTTTGATTTCTATTGCTTCTTGTTTTGGACGCATTTTATCCGGTGTCGCGTCAGATTACTATAAAATTCGACATGAAACTTCACGATTAGTATTCTGGATTATTGCCGGCGTATTAATGCTTTGTTCACAATTGTATACCGCATTCGGATTATCTTTGCTTGGTTCGACAGATAAGGCGTTAAGTTACCTTTGGATATTGACGGTTGGTACAGGTTACGCATACGGTGCCGCATTTAGTTTGGGGCCGACTATAACTAGTGAATCATGGGGTTTGAGATGGTTTGGCATGAATTGGGGAGTAATGAGTAGTGCACCAGCATTTGGTGGGCTCTTGATGAATTTGATTTTCGGTTTTGTTTACGATTTTCATGTTGATGAAAAGAGGCAATGTGTAGGTGTTGATTGCTTTCAAGCAGCTTTCTATGTATCCAGTTTTATTAGTTTTGTTAGTATTTTACTTGCTTGTATTTTGCTCGTGAGAACACGATGATTTGATATTTCTTTTCATTAATATCTTCTCACGCACGCACATTGTTTGACATGTAAATTATATTTAACCAAATAAAAAACAAAACAAGTGTTGATATTTATTCTGCTTACCCAATATAATGACATGTCAGAATTTTAGTTATTGTTTAATTGATTGATCGATGGTGCCACTGAATATTACGATAGGGAAATTCGTATCACACAACACCACCAAATACTGGAGATATTTTATTTTTCTCCCGACAGGAGTACGTAAAAAAGACGCCAATATTTTGAAAATTACTACATGGTACATAACGTATTTCGATGATTGTGTCCGAGATAAATAATGATTGTCGATCACACGTTTTGTCATCAATCCTCCGAAAAATGTATTGTGACAGCACTAAAGCAAGCATATTGATGCATCAATCCAAATATATATTTTTTAGATTCCGCACGTTACTTGCAAATGTACTTGTAAATAATAAATGCATGTATGCGTAGGCGCTCAGTCAAAAAGTCGCTTCAATTTTTTCTCTCATTTGTGCACGCATGCATCATATTAGGTTTTAAACTTTCCATTGTTAACGATATGATGATTTTTTTCGTGGGAAAATCTGTAATAAAGCGGCTGAGACTTGTGTCATAGCGATAAAGTGATGATTTTGAATCTTGAGCACGTCATTGCATTTTCTCACGGTCGCCTGTTGATCTATTTCTATTATTTATTTATTTATTATTCCTACTGTAAATTGACAGGATTTGAAAAACAATAATATACATTTTATTTCGCACGTTTATTATTACTTTGAATTTCAATCTCTTAACAATAACAGTGATCAAAAGAGATACAGACAATAACGGATGATTCCGTGATTTTTATCTGAGAGTACAAGAAGCATACATACGTACATACATACATAATAATTACACACAATCTATTATTATAAAACGTCAAATATGCAGATGTACAATGATAAGTGGCCATCTATTTTATACTATTTTTTATAATTAATGTCAAAGAAATAAAGAAAAAGCAGGACAATCAAGTGATATCCTGTAGTTGTGTGTGCTTTTTATTTGTTTTGCTGTGTATATATGCGTACTTGAAACTACAGAAGAGGTCATCTGATGAAAATCTTTTTTCAGTTTCCTTTTTATGATTTTTTTATTTTCCCACACACACAAAAGAAAACCTATTGTCAATTGTCATTATCTCTAGATATTTCGCGAGATTCTCGTTTTCTATGACAACGACAGCAACAACAATCGTTTCGTTAGCTGCTCGAGACTACTTTAATAATGTTGATGATGCTTAAAGATGCATTGGGCAAAATCACCTAAAGGCGATCTTGCAGTTTTCCGTACAAGATAGTTGAATGCATCGTTTTTTTTTTTTGTATTATCTAATTCTATCATTACATGAATGAATAAATAAATACACGAGCGCGGCTGTACGCTGTATTGGGTCAATCAAAATAAATCTTTGATCACCACCTTTTGTGTGCAAAAGTTTTTAAATTTATTGTTACAAGACCCAAATCTGATTGCATACATGCACAATAAATAACCGTATATGGGCATATAGATACATTTATGTCTATGTTCTGTGCTAAAAAAATCGGGCGCGCCGAAAATTTTAAGGAATCTAAGAAAACTAAAACAATCAATCAATTAAATGTACAACCCTAATAAAAATACTATAACAGCTTTCGACCATGTGACCCCCTCTGAAATTTATTAGAACAATGTCACAAAAATAATATATTCTGAAATGGTTAGATAATCCTTTCTCGGTGTGGACAACAAAAAATCTTTGTCGTTGGCGTTTTATAAAAATCCTTTTATTTGGTATCTGTACATGTATATCTCTCCATCCGTCTTATATTGTTATCGCGGCCTGTCAACAAGTTTAATTTATTATTTTTTTGAGTTGATGTTATTGTCATTGTTTTAACCTTGCGCAAAAACAAAATGCAAAAGAATGTGACTTTATTAAATTGAATACGCCTTTTCCCTGCTACACGAAATTAAATTTAGAGGGTTCGATCGGATCTAGATTAAAGATATGAGATTATCCCGATATTACCTTCCTTCTGATGATCTTATCATATCAAAGCATCAATCGATCAATTCTCAGTCGAAGGATTTCCTTTTTGCATAATTTCATGGTATTCAATATGAGATGCTATTGATGATCGTATATTTCTAATTTAAGTTATCACAAATAACGATAACGATGATACAATAATGATTAAATCCAAGATGTTCGGCAAATCACAATTTATTTGCACATGACATTTCCCACATCAGATAACAGTTATTAGATTCATATGTACAAGGTTTATTCAGTTCTCTAATCACTTTACATACGTCGATATAAATGTATTACATTATTATTCATCATCTATATACAAATTTGAAATGTGATTATTATTTATCGGTGAACCAAAAAAAAAAAAGAGAATTAAAACTATATAACAAAGTTGAGCGAATTTCGAGGAAAGATCTGGATAAAGTATTTACGAAAAAAAGGGGAATAATATGTGGGTGAAAACTATGCAGAACACTCGTGGTTTCTTTATTCCATTCTGACCATCTATAACCCAAGCTCAACAAAAAATATCTATATTTATAAAAAAAAAAGTCAAATCCATATAATATGATAATAAAGTGAATATAAACAAAAACTTTTTTTGTGATTATTTCTTACGCCAGTCTAATTTCCCAATTTGAGGAATCGCGCATTGATTCACCTCCTCGACTTTTAATAGCAGTCGTCGTTGTCGTCGTCTTAACATGATGACTATTATTTATTTTTTCACAGACAATATATTTCCCAGAATGATAGCATACACCATCAACTCTTACAAATAAAAGTGGATATTCTACGAATTCCCGGTTCTCAGTTTTGTTGATGGCTGAAGCTCTTAGTAATTCTTCAACTTTAGGAATTTCCACCACCAAACTTGTATCATTCAATAAATTAACACTCCCCGTCATATTGGTATCATTGTTGTTGTTGTTATTGTCATTATCGTTGTTGTCGTTGTTATTGTTATTATGATTTGCCGTAGATCTTCGCATTATACGTGTCTTGAGAGAACCATATTGACCAAGCCATACTTCCATTGGTTGTTGTGGTTGAGATGAAAGTTGATGTAGCGATGCGTCATGATAAAAATTAGCAACACTTAATTCGATTGTATTATTTGAAGTATATACAGGATTTGAAGTTAGAGTGGGAAATGGAGTGGTTGGATGATTTGTCGATGATCCAGATTGTGAATTGTTGTTTGAAGAAGAATCAGATGTTGGAAAAGATTCGAAATGGGTGTGTTGAAATTGAGAAATTCCAACAATCGTCCAACAAAGGTAATCGTCAACTTCTTCTACAATTGAAGATGTGATTACATCATTGACATCCGCATTATTAATATTATGATGGATTGCAAACGAATCAATATCTCTTTTTGATGAGTCGACCGTATGCATATGAACCAATCTGGAAGGTTGATAGCCGAGATAAGGAGAAGCACCACTGACAGTACATTGATCTTGTGATTGAGGGCTGTCCATTGTGATCGGACCTGCAGCGCTTAAATAGGAGTTTTGACAACTAGTACCAACATGTTGCAATGCAATTTTTTGCATTTGACTAACAGGTCCACATGCGGATTGTGCAATTCTACCCTTCTCGACTTTACGAATAATTAATCGATCAGATGAAATACCCGTGGCTGTATCCGTAATAATAATTTCTGATCCATATGTGATAGGAGTTGCAGTAGATGGTGATGAGGTCGGTGATGATGAAGCATTTTGACATCCTTTACCATTGGACTTTGGGGAATTATTTGAAGGTAGAAGAGGTGTTGGACTACTGATAACATCAATGATGAATGGTGCCCAAGAGGAATTCTTTGCGCATAAATGACCATTTTCAATTCCCATATATTTGGTACGTACGGTTTGAGAATTTATTCGATTGAATAATGAAATCGGAGTACCGGACAAAATGCATGATGACACATTTCTTGCTTTCGCAGTCTTTTTAGACGGTTTTGAGATAATAGTAACAGGTGCAGAATCAAAGATTGCATATGGAATATTTGAATTCTTATTATAAACTTTTAATTTTAGAGAAAATTGCTTGGCTTTTGCGGTTCCACTAACGTGCAAATATTTAAATGTGCCTTTCATATTCTCATCAAGCATCGTTTTCTGTTCCATAGGTCGATCACCGGTTTCACATACGACCGACATTGCTAATTCTGGTTTACCATGTAAACTGGAATTTGGTTGTCTCACAATTACAACCGGAGGCGGACACAAGAATCTCTTTTCACTACCATATGATTTTTGAGCAACAGCAGCGTGAAGACACGTAATTGTCGTCATTTGAAAGGAATTTGGTGGTTGCCGTGATGGGGATGGAGAGGGTTCGTTCTTAATTATAGATTGTGATGATGCATGAGATTCAAATTGTTGATAATTTGCATCAATTGACATCGAATTTTGCATCCTTAACATTTCATCGATAGATCGTCGCATTTTTGCACTACGCGAGTCATCATTATTAGAATCCCATTTTCTTTTATTTGGTGTCGTCGACGAAGTCACCAAAGGTGGGGGAGAATGACGCGGAGGAGGAGAACTACGCGTACGATCTACGTCACCAACAGCTTGATTAACACTAGGCAATGGAAATGAATTTGAGAACATACTTCCGTGAGGAGGAGAAGGAAGACTGGATAAACGAGGAAATGGAATTAAATCCGTAGTTGGGGGAAATGCAATCGGGGCGGATGGAAGTGTTAACCCTCCAGAGAATGGTAGTGGAGCATTCAACGTAGTATCTTGTGGTGTTAACGGAGTTGACTTGCCGTCGTTTGTTTGATTTTTCTTTAATTGTTCATTTTCAGCATCAATTAATGATGATATTGACATTGCTACTGATGGAACAGCACTACGACTATGGCTATTGTTGTTGTTGTCATTGTTACCATTGATATTACTTAATGGGGATGGTAAAAGTAATCGATCTTGATGATTCGTTGTTATTTTTTGTTCTTGTTTTTTTAGTTGTTCTTGCTGATGTTTCCTTTCCGAGTTGTTTTGGCGATCATTTTCGATAGTTTGTTGCTGCTGCTGAGAAGAATTCGATGAAGCTAAAGGTAATTCTTGTTGTTGTTGTTGTTGTAGAAGATTAGTGGTATAAGAAGAGGAGGAAAGCTTCGTGGAGCTTAAATTAATTGGAGCAACTTCTATCGCATTTAAAAGCGTTTCAAAGTTATTGTTACCAATAAAATTATTATAGTGTTGGTCCAAGGCTTGTTCACCATATATTTGAGGTTGTTGACTCATTGCTGAGGGAAAAAGGAATTTTTGGTTTTGAGGTTGTGGCGAAGATGTGACGCAAGTTGAAGGGGTGTTTTCCATATTAATGCGTAATGACGCGTTTTATGTTTATTGATATTACTTTTCTCTCCGTGTATTTGTATTCTTATTTTATGTAGTCGCGAAAAAAGTCGCGTTTTTTACGTGTAGCTCGCGTTCTTTGACCAATATCACGTTTGCCTCTTAGAAAGAAATAATTCAAAAGGATAATGTGTGGATGTTAAATGAGAATGCTTTTTAGAGATAGCGTGCGAAAATACTAAAATATTCGCGCGAGAAATTTCTATGCAAACGAAAAAGTTCAAGCAATTTCTATCAAGTTTAATTTGTCAAGAGAAAAAAAATGCGTGGAAAAAAAGGGATAGAACGTGCGTGGTGGTGGTGATTTTTGAGGGTTGACAAAGTTCATCAGAGACGGCTTTTTATCAGAAAGATCGCAACTTGAGATTAGCGCTAATAACTATTAACTTTGGAATCTTGCTTTAACTTCTTTAAATGGTAATGATGTGAGTTATTTTTACACTCTTGTATTTATTTTTTTATTTGTAAAACATAGTTTATCCTGCTGATACGATAAATTTTCCTCAATAATAAATTTAGCAAGATTTTCTAATTGACAACATATACGTATACATGTATATTATATATTATAAATTATAGATTATTTATACGGAATATTTTAATATCTTTCGTGTAGGAATTCGATATTTTATGATTATTTTTAATTTTTATTGTTTACAATAAATTTTTGACAAGTATTATTACTATTATATATTATTACTTAATAATATTAATAATAATAATAATAATAATAATAATAGTATTTATTATTGTCAGCCTTCCTCTTTAGCAAATTTTCATGTGTTTGTGATACGCTACTGATCTGAGCGATTAGGCTGTGGATGGTGGTGTGTTGTTGTTTATGAAGAAAAAAATTTTTTGTACAAATTATATTTTTTTTTGGCTGAGTTTTTTGGATTTCTTTGCAGTCAAGTTCTCTTTAATTTTATTTATATAAATTCGTAACAGATAACAGATAATAAGATATTTATTAATGCAGACGGATAGTGTTTTACGATAATCTTATCCATTCATTCAAGACTTCATAAATGTTGTGTAGCTCACATTTCCGTTTTTCACCGATTAGATTAAAACTCGTCTTTTCCCACATTCTTGACTTTTTTTATTTCTCGTGTCTCTTACTTAATCTTGCCGGTGAGCGAGTGTGAGTGGAAATTCCAATTGGGATTGGTCGAGATCCAAACTCGTCTGAGGTAAGATGATGAATGCGTGTGATTAAATTTTTTAATTTAAGCAGAGAAACCGGTTTCACATATGCATCTTTTCATTGCCATTACACGTTTGGCATAACTTTGTTCTTCTTTTAATACATGAACATGTGCACCAATCTTTTTTCCCACACAATCCTTAGAATAGAACACAAACCAACTTTGATGTTTTCGTCGTCGATCCATAGTCCAACTTATCAATTTATAAAAAAAAAGTACAATGAAGAAAAATGTCGTCATAAGCTTTTTTGATTGATTGATTGATTGATTTGTTTGATTAAATATAGGCAGGGAAAAAGAATGTATGCTGAAGTACAGTAAAAGATCTATATTAGTGTTAGTTCTGTTGTGCAGTATTGTGACTAATAATATATTGTTGCAGCATACCGTGAACTCGATTAAAAAAGAAAAGCGGGGAAAAAGTGAAAACGAGAGACGAGAGAACAAAATAGTGGGGTAACATCACAACAAATTAAGAAAGGAACTTCCCCACAAAAAAAGCCTCAATCACTTCATCCTCATCATTATTTTCTTTTTCTCTCCTAGAAAACAAAGCTGTTACTTCATATCATTTCCTAAACTTGAATTTCTCCACGCTTTTGAAAGCCACACACAGATATAAAAAAACATGTGCCAAAAAAACCCTCGCGCAGATAATAGCCCAGTCGTAATATTATATTGAAAGTAGTCCCCTGTCTTTTTTTCTCTGATTGCATACATTACAAATTTCTCACGTGTGCTGCTGTCAAAATTGTAGAAAGGTGAAGGGGATAATAATCCCATTATTTAAGGAAGGTAAGTTGATCTTTACATAACGATTAAACTTTGGTATTACGTTAGATCAAAGATCTAAATTAAGTTTCAATCTTGCTGAAGTTATCAAATTTTTTATCTCTGCCCATGATTCTTTTTTGTACGCAGTGGTCTGGACCTTGGTTTTGCTGGATAACGTGACTTGTATGAATTTTGATTGGTTGCGCTAAATGGAATATATATATATAGACGAAAAAACCTTATCGCTATTGTTTTACCATGTAATTGTTAAAACAATGTTCAGGAATCGCTCTTCACGTCTATGCACTACTAGACTTTTAACAATTACATTTGCCTTTATATTTTTTTTCTTTATTTGCCAATTGACTTATATTCCAAGTAGTAACGATGAGGATAGTAAAAGGGTGAATGTAACTTTATACGTAATGTCTCTATGTCCGGACGCTGTTATGTGTGAAGCGGTGTTTAGAAAAGTGCTTGAGAGAGTGAATGAAATAACGAGCCTTAGTATAGACTACGTCGCGCGTTTTGAACCAGGGCCAGGATCGGAATCTCGTATTGCGTGTAAGCATGGGGAAAAGGAATGTTTTGGTAATAACATGACTACATTAGTTAAAAAAAACACATGTTATTTGATTACTATTTACGAATCTAAATCTTGACACATATAAATTACAAAAGGAAATATTCTGGAACTTTGTTTCCAAAATTCTTATCCGCCGCCAACATATCAACGTAACTTTTTCAGGTTCCTACGTTGCTTAAATCGTGACCTATCAAAAAAAGGAACCCATTCATATACAGAAAGATGCGTTTCGCAGGTTGGACTAGATTATACACCGATTGCAGAATGCGCTGATTCTGCGTTAGGAAAGCAGTTATTAAGGGAGAGTGTGATGCGAACTTACGCGTCAAATGTCACAAAAAGTTGTACGATTTTTGTAAATGAGAAGCAAAGGTGTATTAGAGATGGAAGTTGGTATGATTGTCCAGATGGACATCGTGTTTCCGATTTTATCAAGACTATCGAAGATGAATATGTATTTGATGTTTGATTCCGCAGAATTAAGTTTTGAATTTAATACGTTAATAAATATCCGCTTAATGGAACAGTAAACCAGTACTGTAACTTTCTAGTTTTGGCCGCTAACACTAATTTTTGGTATTAAACATCTGCATGATCCAAACCATTGCCAAATTAAGTGAATCTCGCAATTTCCATCATACGATTTATTTTTATATATTGAGAAGACGCAATTTATGTATCAAAGAAATGATCAAAAGCTTTTTCAGTAGTTGATCTTTTTTTTCTTTTGTCCTTTCTGCTACATACAGACCGGATAGATGGATAGAAGATCGATCGATGGTTCCCGTGAAGAGTCAAAGTAGAATTATCCCGGTAATTATAGCAATGTGAAGATGTCGCTACTGACAAATGATAGAGAATTAAATAAATTTTGGCGTCTATGTTTGACTGTTTAAAGGTGGTTTCGTCGCTGCCTTTGAAGATATTCACAGGCCTTTCTAAGTCAACTTCCTGCTCGACTAGCCAACCTCTTCACATATTATCGCTTGCCTTTTTTGATGATGCTCATACATCTTATTCTACGGGCCTTCCGTAATATCAACAAAATACTATCCTCAACTTTATACTTAATCAATAATAATATGATTCTTTTTATTTGGTATTAATAAAAAATTTCAATATTTAAAATAGTAGAATGCTATTAACCGATCTCCCGCCTAAATATTTTTTATGGATAATCATACCCACTAATTATCAATCATCTTCATACTTTCGCAAACCTCTCGAGTCTCCTTGAGTGGCTTTATAATATTTTTGAAATTCACAGAGAATATGTTCTAAATCCAAACCACGTAGTGTTCTTCCTTCAAAATGTGACCCAAGATTCAGATTTACTTTTTGCAATAATGACTCAAAGTCATATCTTTTATCGAAGTATTTAAGCCCTTCTTCAGCGCCTGGACCTAATACAGCAAACGCCTTATTATCCCCGTATGCCACCATGCCCATCATTAACATGTCGCAGGCAATTTGCCACGCAGTGAATGTTCCTATCTGAGGAATATCTTTATCCTCTTTCAGCTCGATATAAGCATCATACAATGTTGGTTGTGGATTTCGTTTGACAATTCGCTTCCATATCTTTTTCCCATATTCAAATACTTTCTCCCATTGATCTCTTCGTGCCTCGAAAGTAATAGTACTTTGAAATGCATTTGTACTAACTGGTAAACCAAGATTTCTGCGATTTTCGAGTATCGCCCATCCTTCATCGATGTCTCTAATGTATTTAAGTCGTTTATTGATACTTTTCCGTGAAACAAGACGATGAATAATGAGATTAACGATATAGAATTCATCTGTCGGCTCGTAATCGGAAAGGATATTTGTTATTATTACTGAGGTTATGTCATCCTCGCGAAACACCTAAAAATAATAAATTTAATTATTGGTCACGATTTTTGGATCATTTGACTAGATGAACGGATCAATTAATACTTACATTGGTGAATCGGAATTTAGATAACACTTCATCCTCAGTATAAGGAAATGGCAAACCTTTCGATTTCTTTATAAAGATCTTTTGACGCTCATTGATAAAATGTATTAACTCGTCAATGGGTACTTTACTAACTGTTCTCTTGTAAAGTGAACGTCGAGGATTATCCGGTATTTCGATATTTACGAATAATGGTGGCGGATTTACAATTGTCAATTCTTTGAAACTTAATTTCATTGACAAGGTCGGAGAATCGTAATAAGAAGATGCTGATAAGGATGATGAGGATGATGACAATAAAGGTGACATTGACTCTGAAGAAATTTCAGATGAAGAACTAATCGATGGTTCGTAAGTTGGAAGCGAATATGGAAGTAAATCTTCAGAAAATAAGGAAACTGATGAGGATGAGGATGATGAACTTGATGATAAAGATGATGGTTGAAAAGTAGAATCATCATCACTTTTGTCCTCATCGTCGTTTCCATTTTTTGTATTAGTCGTTTTTTTGCGGTCTTTATTATCATCATCATTATCATCACCATCATCATCGTCAGCTTCAATTAAGATATAATTAGGTTTAATCTCTATATGTTTGTGCTTATTCTTATTCTCATTCTCATCATCTTCATCAGAAGACATTATTGCTACAAACGGAAACAGCTTTCTCCGTTTTGTCGATGAAGCAGGTAATAAATTGTTCTCTGAGGAAGATGAGGAACTTGTGGAAGCAATTTTTTTATTAGGCTTTTTTCGGGCTGGACTACTATTATAAAGAAATATCCTATCATTATCAGTGATATTGCCATCACCGTTGCCTGAGGTTATCGTTGTATCTCCAGCTTCAAGATCAACGTTGTTTTTCTTGTCATTTTCTTCGTCACTCAACAAAACAATTACCTCCATAATATTTGAAGAGGATTTGCGTGATGTCATTTTTTATTAATCGTAAGGAAAGAATTGTAAATTGAACGCGCGTACTCGAATTGTTCGTTAAAAATTTGTTGCACAATATTTTTTGTCCGATCGGGTATCGTGATACAATTAATTTCCCTGAACAATAATCATGCATCATTTAATTGGATGGAAACCGTTTTTCTCTGGGATTTTTGACTTTTCCAAATGAATCAGGGGCTAAATATGAATAATCTTGTCTGTGCATTGATTCTTTAAGCATGTTTGACCTTATAAAGAACGTTATTTATTATTTATCCAACGAGCAAAAGCAAAAGGTATTTTATATTTTATTAGTTGATGCTAATTTTTGGCGAATTAAATACTAATTCATAATGAAATCTTTTGTATAATGAAATAGTTCGATCAAGATGGGTAAGAAGAGATAATATTCTTTCATTGGAAAAGATCTTTTTATTTCGATATGATGCTATATATTTTTTTCACTGGATGGATATTATTATAAAGTTATCTTGTAATACCAAACTTTTTTTCATTGGAAACCGCGGAAAAGTTGAAATTACGTGCTCATCAATTATTGGGCGAACTTTCACTCGACGACCATCCGATGACAATTTTCTCTGCTGATGAAAAGGAAAATATAAATTATTTATATCTAAAGTCATCAAACATTTATATCTTATAAACATAAATGTTTGATGACTTTAGATGGTGTGCACCATATATACAATTCAAGTGAGCGAGAGAAGGCGGCAAGATTAATCTTAAATATCATTGCAAATGTTTATAGACTCAGTATCGTGACGACTATTTTCTTAATTCCGGAGACAAGATTCGCTATTTTTTTGAGGAAGAAGCATTTGATGAATCTGGCAAATTAAAATTAGAAAAATCCAAAGCAATCAATAAAATTGGACATGGTATTGAAAAAAGAGCTTTGACTTGTCATTATCGATGTGTTATTGTTGATTTAATGGTTAATGATATATATATATATATATATTTGAAAAAAAAGCATTGCATGAACTCGATCCCAATTTCAAGGAGTTTTCACTAAAAAATGAATCGATACACCAAATTGCTAAAACCCTAGGATTCAAAAATCCTCAAATTTTACAATCCATGTTGATATTTAAGGTTTGTCTTTCAAGAGTTCTATCAAATTTTTTATCGCATTAATTTTCATCCTGGCTGATTTCAATTCATTCGATTTCAGCAACCTTATATCGGTGCTAGAGGTACTTCACGTACATTCGTGGATATTAAGATATAAATAAATAAACCAATTGTTTAATTGAAATCACTATCTGACAATAGTGAGGCCACACCAAGATTCCACGTTTCTTTACACTAAACCTTTGTCTGCCATTGGATTCTGGTTTGCTTTGGAAGATTGTGCCAAGGATAATGGATCCTTGTGGTTCATACCTGGATCTCATAAAAGCAAATATTTAGTTGCCTTTCATATTTCTTTAAATTTTTACTTGTTAAATGCTCATTAACTTTTCGATTTCTTTCACCAATTAAATATGCAGCTCATCCAATAGGAAGTAGATTTGTTCGCGCAAAAAAAGCCGATGGAAAACTCTCTACGGAGTTTATACAAATTGATAATGAAGTCTCATATGACGAGAGTCAATTTGTGCTGGGTAAAAATTTTCATCCAAAATGAGAGATTACGCCATTATCCCGTTAACATGCTTGCCTTTTATCTAGAGGAATGTAAAGCAGGTACCTTGGTTCTTATTCACGGATCCGTTTTGCACAAAAGTGAAGCGAACCGAAGTGGACGTTCTCGTTTCATTTACACTTTCCATGTGATAGAGGGAACTGCAGAATATGATGAGCGAAATTGGTAATTTATTATTCGCGTCTTTGTATAGAACCTAAAGCTTCAGATATTGATCGAAATACAAATAATTTTATTCTAGGCTGCAGCCTACTAAAGAAATTCCCTTTAGTTCTTTATATTGATATAGCTTAGAGATCTTGATATATATATATATACATATATATTTATTAGCTCTTTATCATGTGATACAAAGAAAATAAAGCAGATTTTTCCATCTTGACACAAATTCCGAATCTTCGTCAACTTGTAAGTTTTATAAAAATGACCGGTACGCGAATAATAAATAATAAATTGCACATTCACTGGATAATATTTAGGGGAACCAGAAGCTTGTAAAGTTCTTCGAACTATGCAAAAGTTTTGAGAGGGTGTGTATGAGTGAAAGAAGAAATTATCTAACAGACTTCAAAATTATCTGGTTCGAATCTGGTTTGATTCTGCTTTCTTTGCTTTTTCACAACACGAAAATAATAGACTATCAAGAAGAAAAACAACAAGAGTTAGAAGTTTTACGTTCAATATATCCAGACGAGTTAGAAGGTATAAAGTTCTTGCTTTTGTGTGTATTTGTTCGGGAAATGCATCTTATTGTTTTTTTATTGAATTTAGAAATTTCAGCTGATGAATATAAAATCAAACTCGAACCTGATGACCAAGATACTCTGGCTCCAGGTAATCTTCTTTTTCGACGCGTTATTTTTTTTATCTTAAGAACAAAATAAACATGTTAAAAAACATCGATCTTAATTTATATTATTAGTAACAATAGCATTACACATAAAATACACACACACATATCCTGATGAAATACCCGAGATATCAATAGACACACTAGACGGTTCATTATCTCCCGAGGATCATGATAAATTATTAGATGGACTATTGAACGCCGTAGGGTTATCAAATTTATCATCTATATTCGGATTTCTATGCATTACTTAATTAATAATTAATCAAATTCTAATATAGGCGCAAGAATCGTTAGGAATGGTCATGGTATTCACCCTGGCGTCACTTTTAAAAGATGAATTAACAAATTTAGTGATAGATAATAAAGAAAAGAGGCGACAAGATGAAGAGGATAGAGTTAGAAGAGAGATTGAGGTTAGTTGAATGTTATCTCTATACTACGGTTCTAGATGATAATTTATCATTATAAATTGTTAGGAGGAACAAGCACGATTCCAAGGTACAAAGGTAACAGTGGCGTCATTTTTAGAATGGCGAGAAAAATTCAATAAAGAAAAAGCTGAGAAAGAACGCATTGAAAAAGGCACTGCCGCGTATAAACGTGATGAGGCAAAAAAACTGAAAGCAACTGGTCGACAACTATTCGAGCAGGATGCAACACTCGCCAAATCCGATGCCACGTTTATGGAGGAAGGGGATGTCACAGTGGATACTAGTCTCTTTGAACATGAGGATCTTGGGAGTGATGAAAGTTCTGGTGACGAGGAAGTGTTGAATCTTATACGGAGTAACACGGACTAGAAATTAATTAATTTATTATTTAGCTTTAATTTGATTTGGGTTTTGTGAGTTTAAGAGTTGGGTATTTTTATCAGAGACAATATAACAATCATTTTTTAATTTTCTTTTTAAGTGGCATCTTTGAAGACGAAATTGCTTGGTTGGTTTGGGAATTCGCTCGTTGAATGAATTGATTAAAGATATCTTTATTCTCTTTTTCATAGATTAATGATAAAATTGACAGTACACATGTATTTAAGAAATTAAATTTTCGGATGATGAATAAGTTGTTTCATCAAAGATTGGAATTCTTACTTATGTACACTACCATTTACTATTTAACTAAACATAATATCAAAATCCTCCAATATACGTTTCGCATATAATTGATTCATGGATGAATTAATTGGAGAAATTTGATTCAGATTCGTCAATATGCATGTAAAAAAGAGAGAGGATGCCCATTTAGCTAAAGCGAGTCCATGATAATTTACACTATCTTGATCGTTATATATTAAATATATAAAAGTGTAGACCGATGCGTGGAGAAACGTCATAAAATCCTGCACATATTTTTTCCCTTTCATCACCAGATCTTCATTCCTGTTCTTCAAAACTCCTGTCATTATCTTCGCCGTTCGGATCAAATGATTTTTATTTGATTCTGACCAATGAATTGTTGAAGGTCGGACTTTGTTCTTATTGAGAAAAAGATTGGGGTACAAATATCAACTTTTTTAATGATCAATTACCGCCACTAAATCCATCGCCCGTAAATATCTCGATGCTGAGGTAACTGAATTAAATCTTTATTAAATTTGGCTATGCACTCGTTAACATATGGCCAATCTTGCAAGAATTTTAATCGTTTTGAATCGACGCGACTAATATTGATTGAATAGACAAAAAACAACAACATATTCACATCCACAATAAGCATCACTTGTCAATTTCGCAAACTGATGTTTTGTCGCTTTCTATTGATGTTACTTTTGGGGTTATCGTGGCCGGGATTAAAAATTTTGCATATGAGATGATAATGAAGGTTGAGAAACTGGATTTCAGGCAATATTAATGAAGGAGGAGGCAAAGGCGAAGTAAGAATATCATTATCTATGTTTGCAGCAAAAGCTGTTAGTTGCTGCCGAATTCTCATCGTAATAATACTTTAAACTCGAAAAATCATTTTCTCTTTGTTCATCATCATCATGTTTCAATAATTATTATTTCGCAATTGATTTGCTCAAACTTACTACTATAAAATGTGAAGATAATTCAAATGAACTTTATAATTTATTTTTCTAGTTGTAGATAATCCATTGATTAATGAGGTATAGATGGTTCAAAGCATATCGATATTAATAATGACTTCTAAGAGCATCATTAAACAAAACTTTTTCATATTCTCCCCAAGTCCCACTCAAAACATATGGTGGAAAAGCAATAGTCAAAAGACGACGAGTCCTAATATTTGGATCTTTTTCCAAGTCAATTCCATCCGCGACACCGCCAAAAGACAACGCGACTGGCTGTCCCTTCTCAACCAATGTACCCAACTTACCCGGACCATCAATCGACAAATACTGCGTAGGTCCATTTTCAGAAGGTGGCACAAACTCCAATCCGTACAAATCTCGACCGCCCCAAACTTTTTTTCCGTATCGTTGCAAATACATGTCATCCGACTCTGCTTTCAAAAAGAAATTATCTCCCACATATACTGGCTCCCGATTTCGGTTTCGAGTAGTTACGGGTGAAAGAAGGATTAGGTAAACCGGATTGTTGGGAAATGTGTTTGTATCATTGTTCACCCTTGAGAGATATTCATTGTTGTTGGCGCTTCGGATTGTGATTAGGTCTCCATATTTTAGAATTTTTGACATTTTTATTTGCTGTTCCTATTTATACTGATACTGTATACAAGAGAATTTTATCGATTTTAAATTTTCACAAAAAATGCAAAGAACAACTGTACCAATCATACCACAAAAGATTTCGGGGGTCAAAGTAACCGGTTGAAATTGTTAAACGTCGATTGATCAACATGGGTGATCAACAGATCAATAGGGTGGAAGTAAATTTACACGATGAAAAAGAAATAGAAGAGATAAAAGCAGAAATCGAAAGACTCCTAAGAGACCTTGATTGTCTCAGGCTTCCGGTTTTAGAACCTCCTCCCGGAGCAATTTTGAGAAGGTAAATTTGTTTTTGTCCAACAGTTCCATTTCGTTTAACCATCCATAGTATTTGCAACGTTTGACTAACTTATGCTTGCTTCTGTCGACGATCATCAGTATTTCTTTACTGATCTCTATTTCCTGTCATTTTGAATAAGAAATGAAGCGGTGATGGTAGAAGATTAGTCAATGTAAGTCTAGTAGCTAAATCGGTGGCAGCATCTCTTTTAGGAACTGGAATAATCACGCAGCTGCAACAAGCAGACGAAACAAGCTTCATTCTAGATAGAAGTTCTGAGTGAAGAATGCCAATTTAATTGATATGCAATGTCAGAGATCATTAACGGGGATCATCTTCTCCAGCCATAAAAAGGTTTAAGTGGCTAGTGTATATATGGTTGTGGCTGAGGTGTGGCACATATGTGACCCGTTTTTTAAATATACAAGATACTCGGGAACTATCATCCATTACCGGTTTTAATTAAGCAGTTCAAATAAAATCCTCATTAATCGATAAATGATATTGTGATTAGCCATCAAAATTGACCTTGAGACTACGTGCGGATTTTTCGAGAAATAAATACATGTTAGGTTGACACTAAAACCAAGATTTTCTATTGAAACCCGCATCATTTCAAGTAATTCTTCCACATATTCTATACGAAGTCTTTACAAGTTAAATACTGATACTTTCTCGCCATCGAATTCGCGATTAAGTTGATACATGATATGCTACTAAAAAAATACACTCACTCTAAGGATCTTTTAAAATCATAAGGCGAAGTATACAACATTATAATCACACACCCTGTTTTGATCCATGCATTCTTAAATGTTGTCTCCGTTTCACCTTCAACCTGATCATAAATCCTTCCACTCATTCGACGCCACCATACTACCAAACCCATCTTTCTCAGCTGATACATGTCTGCCTTCACTTCTTTTTTCGGAACTTGCCTTCCAAATTCGGAAAGGTTGCGTTATGTGCTTCCGCGGTCTGGACAAGCCCGGATGCAGTCTTTAAAATTGGCCTGCGCAAATCTGAGCACCGCAGGTTGAAGATTGGTTGCGCAGATAAAAAATTCATCCCTTAATATTAAAAATCATAATGGGAAGTATTGATACTATATCATGCGCATAATGAGAAATAGATTGTTTTGAAAGTATGTGGACGCGCAGATTAGTTTTAAATGAATTTAAACACTGCCTGGATGGCCTTGTAAATTTCTGACAAGCAAATAACACGAGCATTCATGCATATGGGAGATCCTTCAGTGAGACCCTCGTCTCAACCGATTTATCCAAAAGTGTAATCACCGAGTTCCCAATTTCAAGAATGATATTACTCACGGTTCTTATGATGCGCAATGTTGATAATCAATAAACTTGATCTTGTATTTTCGGCAATATCCAGTTACGCTGCAGCAGAAGCGAAGTTGCGTTTTTATGCAATTGATTAGTCGCGCTCTAGACATTAGTAACCGGGTTGTCACTTTTATAAGTCCAAAATCTGGGTTTTTTTATTGGACTCGAGTAATTCCTCAAGTCCAATGGTCCAAATAGTCCAATTAACACCCTGATCAGAATCGGATTTCCATCCTTCATATGTGAAATTCTCGACCTTAGCCCTTAAGTAAAAGTACATTATTGGCCCGAAAAGGAAGTCTGGTTAATTATATATAACCTTTTGTCGTCGTTCCCGGATCCGATCGATTTCAATTGGTAAAGCTCCACCAATACGCTCAGGGATCCTAATCAACGGGTTTATTGTCCAGTGCATTATGTCCTCCGATTTGTTGCCTAAGAATCACTTTCAATTTTGTCGGTAAGTAGAAAGGTGATGTGCTTTGCTATGTTACTTCGACGTTCTTTTCGCCTATGTAGATAAATTCCTGAAGCTCGGGATATAAACTCCGTCGGCAGCTACAGGCAGTTTGCAAATAAACGGTGCTTTAACAAGAGATAAAGGTCCTGCGCATGGTTGTAGAAGCGCATTACAGATTATGCCGGTCTTGTCAACTAGCATCGCTTCATAATATTTCCGCTTTAGTAAGGTAACTATTTAAAAAAAAGCTAGATCAACGTAATTGCGTTAATTCACTAAAATATTTATGAGTAGTGATGCCTAACGGTTAGTGAGACACAAATCAATAAATGAGGAAAGCAGTGTAGGTTCGGAATATTCTTAATAAAATCCGCGATTTTTCTTGCCGGTCCATCTGGCAGTTCGAACGTACTGGTATATTTTTGAGTCAAGTCTTCACCTGCAACCTTATTCTTGTCGATTATCTTCCTCATTATCAAAATCAATGTACTCTTTCTTCTTTTGAATTCAATATCAATTCACTTCGGGAGATCAGCTGTAGTAGCAGATATACAGTATCGGTATTGGTATATCACAATTTCTCACGATATTCATAGTAAATCACGATTTAACAACATCGATATGTGTTTTGGGCAAAATCCATCCTCGGGAGAAACTATTTTTTCAAAATCCGAAACCCTAATTTGGAAACAAATTTGTGGGAAAATTTATCTGCTTCAAATAAATCAGTTGAGACATCCATTTTCACATTGATTATTAATATTATATTATTAATATCATATTATTATATTATTAATTGTGACAGATTAAAACGAAACCAGATTAAAACGAAACCAGATTATAATAAAATCAAATCAAAATAAAATTTGGATCTATTTTTATGGAATAAAAATTTCAGAGAAGGGTTAGGGTTAGGTTAGAGCATAGAGTATAGCATTAAAATCTGTAGTAAATTGACCTATGATTATTTAAACATCACACTCTGTTTCGTTTTAATCTGGTTTCATTTTAATCCGCCACATTAATTATTGACTATGTAATCCAATATCAAAACAATATTATTACTAATTCTATGTTTACGTATTTTGGACTTAATTCTCGTAATCAATATGAAATTAATACAAGATTTCGTATCGATTACCACTTAATGACATAGCCATAAAATATACATGTATTTGGTTTCAAATTTGATCTTGTATTATCGTTCTAACAAAATTTCATATGAAACTAAACAAATCAGTTGAGAATCTTTTCGTGCATTACAATAGAAAAGAATTTCCGGGTTAGTGAAATTTTGTTGTCATTTTAAAGCAGTGTTGACAGATGTCAAGGTAATAAAATACACAGTAAAGTTCACTTTGACGAAAGGAGTTAAAAACTGCTAAATTATTTTGAAATTAAGTAAACTTCGTTGTGTAACGGTAGGTGTCATTTCAATGTCATTTACAAGCACTACCTTAAAGAGGTTTGATAAGGCGCTCATTTCTAAATAAAGCAAAGACAATATCCGACAAATTGAAATTACAGTATCAGTATACATAGTCACTCTCTTTATAGTGTATATAGGCGAAAATTCTGACACTTCTAGATTTCAAATAAACACTACGTATATAGCGATATAGAGATAGCGATAGAGCTAACCAACTTCACTGTAACGAGAGTGACTGTGTATTCGTTAACCGGTTAACCAAAGTTAACGTTAACTGCAAAGGTTATGTTAATTTAAGCGGGTAGGATCGCTATTGTATTGATTATTTGATAAAATGCACAAGTAAAAAAAAATATTTTAATTACAGAAAATTTAAACTAGAAAATGCTCATTACGTATACATAAATTATTCAACAAGTGTCAAATCGCTCACGCGATCCTTAGCATACACGTCTTTATATTGATCCCAAATCTCGAATAGCCCGTTAATATATTGGTTTTGCAGCTCGAGTACTTCTTCGTTGGTTGGGTTGTCGTTTTGTTTGACGGAAATCGGTTTTCCAACTTTTAAGTTTTGAATTGAATTGTGTTAATCAAAGAGCATTATGATCAAGAGAAAGGATATATTTTATAGATGTGCTTACCAACTGTTACAATTGGTCTTCGATGTGGCAATAGGCCCCATTCATCTTTATACACGAATTTGATTCGTTAATAAAAATAAAATTTTACATTCAAGATAATTAACGAAAAACTTACAATTAAAAATTCCACGTCCATGAAACAATGGAATAGTGACACCAGAAGCTTTATGTACGATTGACTGAAGCTTGAAAACAAAACTATTTGATTCATTATTTACTTGATCCCAAATATCATTCTCGCCAAATGAGAATACTGGTACAAGATCCGCACTGCATAAGAGAAGTGCGTCCAGAAATAAATTTACCCGACAAACAACAATCATATCAAAATCAATAAAAAAAGGTACTCACCCTTTGCTCAAGGCCAACTTTATAAATCCTAATCTTTTCTTCAAAATCAAATTATAAACTCCCGGCCGAGCAGATAAGCTTTCAAATGCTCCGCCAACAACAATCAAAATCGAGTTTCCTGGTCCTTTCTCTAAAATATTCACACATGATTGACGAGAGACCGAACAAAGGCCATGTGCCATAAAAAAGTCTCGATAGAGTGGAATATTAAAGTTGGAGGTGAGCATTAGCATATTAATTGTCACTCCTGGGAATACTTCGGATACGTTGTTAGCTTCGGTGCAGAAATTCGTCCATGCACCAACAGAAATGATACCGTGTGGATGATATCCTGAATTTTTTGTTAGGAAAAGAGAGATTAGTAAATTTTTAAATTAAAGTACGACTTGAAATTGAATAGAAATCGATAAAACCGACCAAAAATATAATTCTTTTTTGGATCCAATTCTGCTTGCTAATGTAACAAACTTAGCATTTAGTGATTAATAAACATCGAATAAATTCCTTGTAATACACCAACCCTAAATACCAATTCACCTTTACTAAGCTAACAGGGAAGAAGTCAGCGTACCATTTCCAAAGTTGCAAACGTCTACAAAAATTCGACCTTCTTCCACCATTCTCTGGTGCAATGTCAAACAACACGAACAGCGAATATGCGATAACAAACGGCCAAAAAAATGGAATCGTACACGAGATTAAGAATAATGCTATTGTGGATGGTAATGAAATTAGCCAGAGGAAAACGGCGCATGTTTGTCGTCTTCGAACGAACGGAACGTTGAATGGAGCAACACGAAGTTTAGATTTCTTCGGGATCATTTTTTGTTTGTTATTTGATTTTAGATTGGGAAATCGGAATTGTTGATAAAGAGAAAGTGAAAGTGAAGAGGTATTTCTGCGATGATGTTATTGATTTAACTCATTTATCTCTTCTCATCATTCTCTACGAAAAGAAAAACGGGATTAAACAAGAACAGTAAAAAATAATTATTTTCATTATTATCCAACAAACAAATAAAAACGAATAAATAATCACGCCAGTAGCAACATTGGGGTATATTGGTATTAGCATTAGCATTAATTGAATTTATGATTCTGAGATAAACAGCATATTTAACACGTTTAACGCGTGACTTTCACACACTACGTACAAACATGTGTGTGGGAAATACGTAGATCTTTTATATTAAAACATGATTTACGTTAACACAAAAATTTAGAAAGAATGGAAACTTCTTAACTAGTTCCATAGATTAATGGAAAAAATAAAATTAATTAATAAAGTTTCCATTTTAATTATTTTAAATCATAAATGAAATATAAACAGAATCCACATTTTTCATTTTCTATTAAAAACCTTCCAAGTAAATATTCTAAAGCTAAAGCAGAGAAAGCGAAACATCGACCGATAATTAGAATGATGCTACTGCTCGTTTTTTCGATTTTATTATAACAAAATCTATAACAGGAATTCAAACAAACTTTAACATCGACCGGAGGATCTAAAACTGGGTATGTAATTATTTTCTTATTTTGCTAAAGCAAGCCAGAAATTTATATTTAATTTATAGTCTAATTCCCAGCCTAGCGCTAGTTCCAGAACAACAAACAAAAAACAATAACAATTACATTTACAGGAATGACACTAACATCCACAGGAACTCGAACTTTAACATTGACCAGGGAATCTGATGCTGTGTATGTAACGATTTTCTTAGCAAACCAGAACTTTATTAATATTTATATTTAATTTAATCTACTTTATTACAAAAAAAATTTTTTTTTCTTTTCACATACTGTAAATCGTAAACCGCGACTTGAACTGCGGTTGAACTGGAGACTTAAACCGTGGTTTTGAACCGTCAATCGGCGCGGTTCATTAGACAAACTGGCGGTTTATAAACCGAACCGTTCCCATCCCTATCTATTTGTCATTAAATTTATACTTGAAGGATTTCAAATATGTGTTGATCATTTAATTTTCCTTCATTGCTACTCTTTAAGAAAAAGATAAAAGTAAAGGGACTATTAAGAACAACAAGAAGCATAAGTTGTGATAAAAATAAATAGGAATTAATTCTTTTTAGAAATTATTATTATCACCAATTCCAGTAAATTTTGAACCCTAAAGTTTCTTTACAACATAATGTTCACTTTATCTGGTTTTGTTGCAGTATGCCCCAAATGACTGATTGTATTTGGGACAGGAGAATTCGATTTAGAAGCTCTACTGATCTATAAATGTTCAAGTATAATTTTGGACAATGCCAGGCGTTCGGGATACTTATATGGTCGCTACTGTACTAATTGAAATTTCAAATATTTTTCATTCAAGACAAATCCCGGAAAAATCCAATTAATAAAAAATGTTCTCTATGAAAACTATCTACATGCAAAATCGGTTGGATATTGTGATACGAAATAATTCAAGTTGGCTGTGCTACTCAAACTAAAAGAATCATCCATAAATTTATCCCTACCGCTACTACTACAAATTTTTGCATATGACGTTTATTTTTTATAAAAAAATTAGTATTAACCGGTTTGAATCGTGTGACCAGTCTTGAAACCGCGGTTAAACCCGCAGTTCAACTAAACTGTGGTTTAGAACATGTAAACCAAACCGGGTTCGGTTCGGTTTCAAACCGCGGTTGAACCAGTTTGAGTTGAACCGTTCCCATTCCTACAAATAGAGATTGGATTTATTTTTTTATTAAAGCAAATAATATAATATTGAAACTATCATGTTTTCTTTCTTGGTTTAGCACAATCATCATCTATACTGTTCAATTTATTACTGTCCATTAAAAATGACTTGGATATTTCATTATTAACTGGCTTTTTTGTAGCTTTTAGTGTTTTTGTAACAGTTATTTTGTTTCGTTCACGTCTGTTTTTTTAATTTTTGTTGACAAAAGAAACACGAAACTCATTTCGCGTAACGCGCCAAAATTAAAGTATTACATACAATTTATTTTTATTATTATTTAAATTATATTATTATTTCTTTATGTCGCAAGTAACCAATTAAACGCTGCAACTTTCCGGAAAGTTATTAAGATATTTATTTATTTAATGTATTAATATTTTAAAAATACTTGTTTTTTGATGTAAGGAAAAGTGATTTCCTTGCATTTTTTGTGGTATAAGATGATGATTTATCATTTATAAATTTGTGGGAAATTGTGTTTAATTTGAGGAATTCCTTAAAGCAAGGCAAGCCGTTTAGCTGGCTTAGCCACCAAACGCCACATCTGATCTATTGAAAAATATCCATCAAAATTATCTGTTCGCGTTCTCTACTTTGTAAGTAAAAGCTTTGCTAATTGTCATTTGCTTCTTTAAACATTATCTTGTATTCATCCTCCTTTCTAAGATTACTTTCACTTGCTAAAATAATGGATTTCGTCTTGATATAAGTTTTATAGATCGGGAGATCGTTTATTTTATCATTTGTTCCTTTATACAATATAGATCTCTTCCATGATTCAAAAATGAGTTCTTACTTTTGATCGATAATTAGGTGAGAGAGCATAGCTTTATGTAATACAGTCAAACCCCTCTATAATCATCATCCTCAGGAAAGCAAAATTTGGTGACTATAGAGAGAATGTGACTATAGAGGGATTTTTTTACTATGTTTATATGTAAATGGGAAAGCAAAATAGAGTGACTATAGAGAGGTGTGACTATAGAGAGGTTTGACTGATTGCAATATTGATCTCTTCCTTTATTAAAATCACATATTGTGTGAATTTTATTTTAGTTCATTATAAAGAGAGCACTGAACTCTAGAAAACATAGTGATTTTATTTAACAAACTTTTTTTTCTAACAGAACTGTCAGTTCGTTAGAGTTGACTATATTCATTAGTGTTTAATGTCTCTGCTAACAGTTATCATTCAATATGACAGTTTGGGTGAGAGGAAGAGGAAAAATTTTGTTTCAGGTGATTGTTCAATATAATGGAAAGGTTATTGTATTTCAGGTGAATTGTTTAGGGTTTATGATTTGTGTTAGGTTTGGAAATTTCTTCATTTTTCTATTTCAATATTATTACATTTTTGTTTTTCTCTTTTGACAAATCACAATAATTGTAATTCTTCGAACCATTTTCATACTGCAGGCTTAATTTTGTTTTTGAATGATTATCTTTTAAACAGTTTATTAATGATTAAAAAATAAACAGAAATTGAACAAATTTTGTTGAGATTACTACACAATTCAAAGCAAATAACATCAGCATTTAACATTTGTTGCAGTAATTCTGTACTTAATGCCAATTAACAAGATAAATCAAATAATAAGAGTTAGATCAAAGTAAAAGTCTATCAAATTTCCTCCATCACTAATAATATCTTCAGGATGACTCTTATTGAATCAGAAAGAAAATATCTAGATAATGACACTTTCGAATTTAGTCTACAAAATTTGAAATATTCAAAAGTAAAAAATGAACTCTACGTGCCTGCTAGAGTTCCAAAAAAAAGTCTGGTTCGGTTCGAGTCTGGTTCGGTTCGAGCTTGAACCGGACTCGAACCTGACGAAAAGTCCGGTTC